ATTCACAAACCCAGCATGCAGCCCAGATTTATGTCCAGATTGTTACATGTGTTCCAAACCTCTTATCCTGATCATGGGCTACACTCCCACATACACAGTGTGCACCCTCTCAGGTCACTGCTGGACCCCTGTGATCCACAGTCCCAGTCTGGCTGTAGGCAGGAGCAAATAAGTACCTCTATGCTGAGAACAGAAGTTTTTTCTTGCCCTGTGGCAGTTTGGATCATGGAATCATGGATTTAGTCAGCTTGGAAAAGACCCTCTAGCATCATTGAGTCCAACCACTAACCCAGCGCTGCCAGGTCAGTCACTAAACTATGACCCTCAGAACCACTTCTACAAGTCTTTTAAATCTCTCCAGGATTGGTAACTCCACCAGTGCCCTGAGCAGCCTGTTCCAGAACTTGACCAACCTTTCTGTGAAGAAAATTATTCTAATAGCCAATATAAACCTCCCCTGACACAGGTCGAGGCCATTTTCTCACATCCTGTCCCTTGTTCATGGGAAAACAGACCGACCCTCACCTGGCTGTCCCCTCCTGTCAGGGAGTTGTGCAGAGCCAGAAGGTCCCCCCTGGGCCTCTTTTTCTTCAGGCTGAGCTCCCCCAGCTCCTCCCTCAGCTGCTCCTCATCAGAGCTGTGCTCCAGACCCTTCCCCAGCTCTGTTCCCTTATCTGGACATGCTCCAGCCCCTCAATGTCTTTCTTGTGAAGGGCCCTGGAATTTCTGTACATGGCACTTGAGGTCCTCACCAGTGCCCAGCACAGGGACAATCATTGCCCTGGTCCTGCTGCCACACTACTGCTGATGCAAGCCAGGTGCCATTGGCCTTCTTGCCCACCTGGGCACACACTCATCCTTTATGTAGAAACAGAAAAGAAGAATTGTTAGTGATTTCTAGAAAAGGAAAAAAAAAACAACAAAAACCCACATATTTCCCATCAGACTACCTAGCTGTTTTTATGCTTTCCCTAGGCTGGATTCATCACATTTATTTGAGGTGGTAAATTCTGAATGCGTTGGGGCAGCCTTGTTATGGTGTGAACTCAGTAGAAACCCCAGTGAGGGAAACTGTTTATTCTAGCTCAGTGCACTCCCAGCTGCCCTGGTTATAGTTCCTTTCTGGCCAGGACAGCTTTTGGAGGCTGTGGAAGAGGGGAGGTTGCAGCAGCTCTCTGTCTCCACAGTCTGCTCTCCTGGTGGTCTGGCCACCTGGAGAGCTCTGCATCAGGGTGTTTGAACCAAGCCTGTGCCTTGCCTGCCCCAATACCTTTCTCAGGAATTTACACACCAGAAAATATAGCAAAACGTGCTTTATCTATTTCTGAAACTGCCCATTTTGAAGTTATTATAATGTCAGTCCCTGCACCATGAGTAGTAGTTGGACCTCAGCATGTGCCAAGTATGAGCATGTGTTTACACATAGTACCATGATACTTCATGTAGGCACTTAGTGGCTTGGACATTTACTCTTTTGAAGAGCCTGGAAACATCATTACAGGAACTTAAATAAATTAGAAATAGAAGTTAAAAGTAAACAATAAAAGCACTGCAGCAGTCTTTTCTTTCTCCATGCTACTATTTTAATCCTCCTGTGAAAATCTGGGTAAGTTGATCCCCCCCTTGTAAAAATGTTTCCTTAAAACAGACAAACCTTTGAAATAGGATCTTCTAAGAAGGCTTTGTTATTGTAGGACATGTCTAATGGGTTGATGCTTCAATTACCAGGACTGTCTTCCATAATACTTTACTGCTTTGATGCCCTGCTAACGTTGTATTTTGATACATTTCCTTTTCAGTGTTTACCTGTGGAGAAACAGCCCTTTTTTTATTTTCAACAGAATTTTTATGTGTTTCATAGGAAGACTTATTAATATGTCCAGTGAATGGAAGGCTCTTTAAAAGACTCTCATGAACCATAAAAGAAAAGCACATGTGAAATGAAATTCATAACTTATATTAAAGCATCAAGTTCAGCTTCACTTCCCAGAAGCAAGGGCATCAAATTTGGGGGTCTTTTTTTTAAAGTGTTTTCTTTTACTTCTTAAACTACTTTGTATTCTGCAACTTGGGAAAATCTGAGCCATCTGACTCATAGTTTAGTGTTTATTCTGCTGTGGAGAGGTACAATGGAAAAGTGAAGGAAAAAATTGAAAGAGTTAAAGTAATAAGCTACTTGTGCTTTTCTAATTATTACCTCTGGTAGCAGAAAGATGTAGAAAAAGGTTGTGTTTGGTATCTTAAAGAATGTTACACTAAAAGCATGTTAGAATCAAGAAACGTATCAAATCCTATACAAATAAAATACAATTAATGAATGTAGAAGCTTTACTTTTATTTTTGTGTCTGAAAATCCTGGATCCATTGCAAACAAAAAGGAAGTGGCTGTGGGTGGGTGTGGTGGTTTTTACTTTTTTGCTGAAACCACCATGCCAGTATCTAGTTTTCTGTGTGAGGGGAAGAAGCTGGCAGAAGTTACGTGGGAAAATAGTGAAGGCAAACTGAGATAGAAATAGCTTTGGAAGCTAGAAAGCATGGAAGTGAGGGAGGAAGAAAGTAGGTGGAACTTGATTTTTGGAACTTGATTTTTGATTAGATCAAGAAATGCAGTTGATTTTAACCTTTCTTCATCAACTCTGGTCAATCACAGAATCACTGGAGGGTTTGGGTTGGAAAGGAACTTAGAGATCATCTTATTCCAAACCCCTGCCATGGGCAGGGACACCTTCCACTATCCCAGGTTGCTCCAAGCCCTGTCCAACCTGGCCTTGGACACTTCCAGGCATGGGGCAGCCACAGCTTCTCTGGGCACTCCGTGCCAGGGCCTCACCACCCTCAGAGGGAAGAAATTTCCTCTTGGTACCTGTTCTAAATCTTCTTTCGGCTTGAAGTCATTGCCCCTTTTCCTGAGTGATCCATCAAAATGGACCAAAAAAATTGTTTGTCTCCTTTGGATCAATGTGCTGCATCATGATTGCAAATCCTCTGCCCCTCCTGCCATTTGGGGAGCTGTGAATTACTTGTGACAGAGATTTCTGAATGCAGATGGGGAGGGCAGCTCAACGTAGAGGCAGCATCCTGCCTCAAAAAGAGGATTTTGGTTCTTGTACTTTGTTATCTTTTGGAAAAGAAACCCCAAGCCCTTTAATTTGTACATTTAGGGTGCTGAGTAAAACTGTGAACATGAGAAATGTATGCCCAAGCTGATCATTTTAGACATCAGGTGTTTTTACTACTGTCTTGAATAGTTGATTTATTTTGTATTTGAAGCCTTAAAAAGAAAGAATAATTACCTTTTAAAAATAGAAGACCAGCAGTTAAGAATGAACAGCATATTATGTTTGTGATAACTCTTCTGTTTGGTTTTATATACTCTGACTAAAAACATCTATTAATTGTCATTTTCATTTACTTACAAACCTTACTGTTAAAAAAACAAGAGAAACTTGGCCATTATCCTGTATGAGCCCTTTTTAAAAAATTGTGATGGTTTAAATAGTGTTAATCTTCCAATGTACTATGATAATAAATGTTTCTATTTCTATGTATTTCCTATATCATGTCCATGTATTTACATTTTATAAGATATTTAGTAGTCTCTGGATGAATTCCTGAGCTGTCCTTATAGTTCTAGGAAGCACCTGAAATTCTAATCCATGTACCTGTGCAGCCCTGCATAATGGAAAAAAAAATTGAGTTGTGCTCATTTTATAAATATAATACAACTTTGTCTTTAAGATAGTCCCAACAAGAGAGACAAATGATAAGGGACAAATACAGAGTGTAATTTCCTCATGCTATGACCACTGTAGTATGGTGGATTATGCTCAGGTTTTTTCTTGTGCTCTTATATGTATAAGGCTGATACTAATTAATTAATTGGTTTATTTATTTATTATTAGAATTTGAAATGCTGTTTGCAGAACACTGGACATAATTTTACTAATAGATAAAGGAAAAGAACCCTATTATAGAGCTCTTTAGTTGTTTATTGATAAAATATTCTTTTACTCTATTGCAAGGTAGATTAATACTTTTGTAGGGAAATAATTGATATATTCAGTCTACTATAAAGATTTGAGTCTTGCTTGTAAATAAATTCTCACTCTTTAAGAATATGTAGTGTTATTATTGGTCTGTGCTATTTAGTTTACTATGAATATATTTCACTGCACAAGTTTTTTGTATTTTAAAAACTCAACTTTAGGAGGAGAGAAAATGTTTTATTCTCAGAAATGTTCTGAGGAAATACTAAACAGCATAGGATTTGTCTTTCTCTAGAATGATGTAAGACTGGTATTCCTTAGGAAAGGAAAAATCTATGACCTCCTGACATTTCATGTTTCAGTGTAGTCTTTAGGAGCATCACAGACATAATTATGTATAAAATTGTTTACCCTTGATTTGTTTCTTCCATATCTTAGCACCAGCATTTAGATTTGGGATAAAAAAGCTGTTGTCATTTTACCTTTTCAAATGCCTATTTGTTATTTTGTGAACAAAGAGGGCTGCAAATGCAGAATTTCTAGTGCACATGCTGCAGCTTTGCCTGCTCTTTTCTTATGGAATTACAGAATTATATGATGTGTTGGGTTGGAAAGGACATTGCAGATCATCCAGAGAAGTGTGGGAAGAGAGATTATCAATGAAGACTGAGATGAAAAAGTGGAGTATGTTAGTCTTCTTATCCATTGTTATAAGTTTACCAGTGTTGTTTATTGATGAGGGGTGTACATAAATGTTCCTGCAAACTGGATTTTCCTCTGTTACCTCAATATTTCAGTTTGTCTCCACATGTGCTTTAGTGTACATTCTTGCAGCTCTTTTTTTCCACTAATCACATGACTCAGCACCAGGCTGAGTGATCTATTTCTGTACATACAGGTGTATTAACAGTATTGTCATTATTCATATTTTCTTCTTTTTATCTTTAAGGAGACCAACACTTCCTTTCTTTTTAACTAATTTCCATAACCTTGCAATAAACCTCTTTGTTTCAGGTTTTCCCTGGGAGATGCTCGCAGGCCACTGCATGAAACCGCAATTCTGGTGGAAGACATTGTCCACACTCAGCTGATAAATTTGGTAAGATAATAACTGGAAAATGGCCTGCATTCCAAAACTCCTTAAATCCACATGGTATTTTCATGTTCTAATGACTAGTAACAGATTGTCCAGGGTTTAGGAAATAATAAAACACAGAAACTGAGGACAGTGCTCTGACTGAAGGTGATGCTCTGGCCTCAATGATCTGTAGAACCAGATATGCAACCCCACCTTAACCTGGGAACAAAGCTGATGGGTTTTTTGTTAGAAACTTTAAGTTGTTAAAAAGAAAAAAGTTGCCTGTTCTTCTAAAGACTACCTTGCTGACTTTTTTTTTTTTTATATGTTTTATTATTTGTGTTAATGCATTATTTGCTTAGGATTCATGTCTTAATATACCTTCTATGTGATGCTTTGATTTCTGTCAAAAATAATGCCAAATATGGAATATTTTAATATATTGAAAGCCAATGAAAGTTTTATATAAATGAAGTTGTTTTGAATCACATCTGTCAGAAACAACTCTAAATTTGAACCTCTATATATTTTATTAAAGTTCAACAGCTTCTCTTAAGAAATAAATCATGGCATTTTACACCATGGCATGAATTTGCCATCTGAAAAATTACTATACCTTTGTATAGAAAAATATCTGACATGCCAACTGTAGTTCATAAAAAGTGTATTTTTCTTATTAGAGCCATTAAAAGACATATAGATGTGGCAGTGAGGGACAGGGTTTAGTGGTGGTCTTTGCAGTGCTGGTTTAGTGTCTGGACTTGATAATCTCTGAGGTCTTTTCCAACCTTAATGATTCTGTGATTTGAATGAAGTTACCAGCACGTGAGGAAATGGACATTATACAGAAGTAATGTATATAGATTATACTAATACATATTAGAATTAATATTTACATCTGATGAGTCCTTGGATCACCCAGAGCTTTGAGCTGCAAGTTCCTATATCTCTTCTTTGTAATGAGCCCTTTTAGCAATGACAAGGCTTCTAAGTTTCAAAGTAGGTTCTAGTACTACATTATCTAGAGCTAAAAACTTCTGTAAAATGATGAAATTGAGAATGGGATACAGCACATATGATAAATATTTATGTGTGTATTAAATATATATTTTATATCTATTTCTACATATTCATACATATAGGACATTTATATTTTTAATAAAAATATACTAAAATTAGACTTCCCCTTGCCCACTGTTTGCCTGCAGCAGGTGTTTTCCTTCAGCTTTGCACCTCATCCAGCAGCTGTTCGGTAGTTTCCTGCATCTCAGCAAATGCCTTGGCATCCCTTCTAGCTCCGGGCAGTTTCTCTCTGCTCATACCTCTGCAGCCCAACAGCGTATCCCTGTCTCCACAGTCTCCTGGCGTCTTTGTGGATTTTTTCCTTATTACACTGCTCTTGGGCTGTCCTGAACTTTCCCCGTGGCTCCTTGGAGAGGACAGCTTCTCTCCCCTTTCTGCAGGTTTCCCGCTGGTTAAACACTCTGCCCTGGGCATGCTGAGCTGAGCTTTACCAAACCCTGCAGCTGAGAAAGTGCAACCTGTGGCCATGTGGTCTTTGCACTTTAATCAAAGCCGGGAACTTACTTGGGGGCTGGACGTGACCCAGGGTTAACCCTGCGTGGGGTGCAGGAGCTTGTAGGATTTCCTGACAGTAGGAAGAATGGGAATGGAGCGGCAGATAAACAGCTTTTCTAACCTTTCCCCTCCCAGCCCAAGACAGCACTTTATTTCTGAGGAAGTGAAAGTATCTTTAATAGCTCATTGCTTTGACCTCTGACATTCACATGCCGGAACTCTTAAATCAGTAGCGTTTTACATGCCCCAGGCTTCTGATAGGGAATTTTGCACATTTGTCATCCTCAGCTCCACATCCTTATTGAGCTGCCGTGTGCAGTTACATGAAATTTTCACTTTACATGTAGGTGTTTTTGCTGGTATTTACCCAGTACTAGAAGAATGCTATTTTTTATAAATGAAACTGACTGCAGAAGTAAATTTATTGCTTACCACCTGGATTTTGTCATGTTGCTCATGTTAATGGACTACACAGTTCTCACTATGTAATTTAATAATTTCTTGTTTAATTCATGTCCATTTTTCCATCCATAATACAGGTATAAAGCTAAACTGTAGAAATTACTTTTATACCTGCAATAAAGCTGGCACATGGCACACATCTTTCATAGTAAGCGTTTGTAAGAAGAGCTTTTTCTTGTTGATTAAGTCCAGGTTTGAGCCTCTGCATTAAAAAATAAGTTTCCAGCATGATTACCTTTGATTGGTTGACTTTTGATATCTCACAGCTTTATAGTTCCAGCTTCTTATTTTCAGAGTTGATCTGAACTCTATTAAATCAAGGTCTGGTTTGGGCAGATTTATACAGTCACTGCTTCAAACCATTATGCACTTCATGAAGTCCGGCTGCTGTAGCAGATGAGTGCACTAACAAGGCAAATTCCTGGAAAGCAGATTTTTAAGAGTTTGCATCACATTTTATGATCAATTTTTGGGTGTATTTTGAATAATATTCACACTGCTTTACGTGAAGAGAAATTCTACTAAAAGTATGTAGCGATGTATAGGGGGAAATGAGCATCACCAGAGGAAGATTCATTTTATCCTAAAATTACTTTCTGAGTTAAATGGGTTTGTATCTCTCAAGGAATTTATATTCTCAGATGGCTAAGAAATGAATCCCTTGACAGCTGGCTTGGGTTTGAATATCTCGGAGATAGGCATGAAAGGTGAGAGATAAATTCCCTCACATTTGTGTCATTAGTTTGAATTTTTTATGCTTTTATTGTAATTTTTATACCTTTTGTTTTTTGTATATCTAGTAACAGGAAATCATAAAGCCCCTGCACTAAGAAGTACTGTACATTTTTTGGTCAAGCATGATGTATTTGATAAGAACAAGGAATTTAAGTTTTAATTTTAAATCAAGTTCAGTGTTGACTGATAGTATTTGGTAACAGATCTAAATGTTCATTTATACGTAAATGTTTAAGGAATTTATAGGTGCCTTCATGTTACCCTGAAACTGTACCTTTTTATGTGGGCTATGACTAGAGGTTCCAATCAAAGCTGTATTTTCTTTATGGTTAGACACAAGTAGTACAAGGAAAGTTGTGCCTGCAAAAACAGTTTAACAGAGAATGCAAAAAGGTGTTAATCCAGTGGGGTCAAGTGCACTAAGAAGGTTTTGAAGCATCATTTTTTATAATAACCTATTCATATCTATTCAGACCCTCAGAAAGGGAACTTGAAGATGCTACTTTAGGGCAAATGCTTGTTATTCAGGACTTTGTGTTAAAAAAAAAAAAAAAAGAAAAAAAAGTCTGTAACTAAGAGCAATGGGACAGGAATTTTTGCTCATCATTAAATTACCATTGAGAGGTTTGCCATCAAAATAGCCTAAATCTTGCACATACACAGATATAAAACAATTTGGAAATTGTTTAGTGTAATACTTAAGAAAGAGGAAAAGTCCCTCTTCACCTTCACCAGCTCTTTCCAAAATTTTTATCATTCTGGGCTGGTTCATAAGAAAATGTAGTAGTATTAGACTAATATTAAAAGCTAAATATTATTAGTATCTTCTCCTGATGGGGCTATAGCTCCTTGCTGATGCTTCAGATGTGAGGTTCAAAAGCAAATAGATGATAAGATCATGATGCACTAATTAAATCAGAAGAGCTGGTAAGCAATTACTTTCCTTATGCTGGCAATGTATCAACTGGGTGTTTGTTATCAGAAGGAAATACCAGCAGTTTATTCTCTAGGCTCACTGGGTATGGCAGGAGTAGTGCAGACACCTGTTTTCAGAGAGTTTGTTTATTCAGTGTAGCACTGGATTTGAACTTCAGTCCTTCACATTTTATTTCAAATATATCAAATAGCATTTGGGAAGAGATTAGATTTGTTTTTACAAAATGGAAGATATTTTAGCAGTAGGACGGAGTTCAACCAAGGAATAGGTAAATTACACATATGCACACCAAAAAATACAGGTAAGTAATGTTGTCTGTCCACAAAAGAGTAGCTGTTCAGAGGGAAGGCCACAGCACATCACAGCAGCCTTAGATTGCATCCTTTAAATGTTTCATCTGCTGTAATTCTTTGTAATGTGTGCTGAGTCCTTATGGAGATGGTCATGAATGGTAGAATTCATGTTAATAGGATTGTGGTTTGCTCCCTGTCAGCCAATGTGTGTCTGCTGGAAGATGGACTCTGATCTCTCCAATTGATATCAAATGATTGAAGTCAGACCCACCCGGTTGCCTTTTGTTAGAATTCAGTAGTGTCAACTTAAAGGGACTTCAGTTGCCCAAAACCCTATTGTACACGATATCTGTTGGTATTTCTTTCATCATCTACTTCTGTCTTCCTATGGTATTTAATTTCATAAAACTTTTGCTGCTACCTAATGCTATTAATATTCCACTCTTGCTTGTGTAGGAGCACGGTTTGGGTCCTGAGTTACATATATGCATAAAGGAACACTTTGAGCATACACATGGATAATTTTTTTGTTGTTGTTTATACTATTTGAAATAAATTATATCTTGCACACATAACGTTTAATTCTGAATCAGTCCTTTGGTGCCAACTGAAACACAAAGCACAGGTCAGCAGGTGAATAGTCTATACTGGTATACGTGGATTATATTAAATTGCAGCAGTAATTCATAGGTAGAAAACTTAGAGTGAGGTGCAGAGATTCAGCAGTGTGCCTGAGTCCTGAGTAGATCTGTGGTAAATCCATCCTGTGGAATAAATTGCTTTTTATAGTCATTTTAGTAAAGATTGGGTAGTCATTTCCCACTTTTTCCTGGAAAAAAGAATGGTGAAAAAGAATGGTGAACAGAGACAAGCATAAGGATAAGTTTACTGACAAAATGCAAAGTTATTTCTCATAAGCAGCATGAATTTTATGTTTTCAAAGGGTTTTGTATTTTCTGGATCATAATGGTGTACTTTCTTCTCTTCCCAGCCTTATTCCTTCTTTTGCTATTTTT